GAAGAGTCCTCTAAGAAGAGGCAGAGAGTCTCTGAGCCAGAGCAAGGCACCAGCAGCTCAGTTTCTGACAAATGTGAGCCCAACACTGAAATAAATGCACCTCAGCAACTCCTGAAGTGAGAACACAAACATCCTTCCTTTTTCTGCTTAGGCTAAAGACAAGCTATTTTACCCCTTCTCAGTTTTAGTGTTAAGAGAGGAAATGTTATAACTTCTATGTTTAAAGGTTTAATTCAAAGCCAGACAGCTTTTAATAGCAAAGCTAGAGCTAACAGTAATAAACCCCTCAATCAACCATTCGCAGTGTAAAGCAGGATGGTGGCAGTGTCATGCTGTGGGACCGTTCCTCTTTAGCAGGCACAGGGAAGCTGGAAAACTCATTGGTTTGTGATTAGAGAGTAAATGAAGGTGAAAAGTTACAGAAGAGGGAAAAGTTTCGCTTGATCCAGTATTAATGAACCATTTATGGGAAAATTATCTTCATATGAATAAAGAAATTGATTCTGAATCATTGACAGCCTCTGGATATTTCTAATGCTTACTATAAGAGAATAATTGCTGCTATAATCAGGTTAAAATAACAGAGTTCCTGCACAAATGGTTCAAATGTTCAGAGTTAAATTCAACTCAGTTTAAGAACTTGAAAAGTTTTCAATATTTATGAAAGTATTTATAATTCAATCAAGTCGTCAGCATAGATATCAGTCTTATTTTTTAAGAAGGTTTAGCTTACTCAAATTTGAAGAAATCATGAGAATAATTTTATCCATCCTGAAAATATAAAAGGAAATTTTTTTAACCCCCGACAGGAATGTAAACAGAAGGAACTGCAGACATTTTCTGATCCTTGAAAAACCCAAACAGAAACAAAGAGTTTTGAGGTTTATTGAAAGCAACAGACATGATGTCTGCATCTCTGATTGCTGAAGTTCATCATTAACATCAATAATCTGACAGTATTCACAGCTTTATTATAATCAGGTGATTTCTCTGTTCACTCTCAAGCTGAGTTTGAGAGAAAATACAAACGTCTTGGACTGATTGGCAAAGGGGGCAGAGGGTCCGTCTACGCTGGCCTTCGCCTGGAGGATTCATTACCGGTTGGTATTATATTGTGTTCTTGGCCTTCTGTCTGTCTTTGACTCAAATCTAAGCAGGCATCCTGAAAGCATCACTGCCGATGTCTGCAGAAAGGATAACACTTGTGCTTGTGTCCAACAGGTGGCCATCAAGTATATAAACATGAGGAGAGCTCAAATCAGACTGAGTGAAGTGAGTGAACTGGTTTAGAAGCAGCCGGCCTCCCAGTCATCTTAGTAGACAGTACTTGTCCTTTGCTGTTAGTTACACAATCAGGTCATTATGTTTTTTTTAAGGTGGACAGTGTTCCCCTGGAGGTGGCTCTCATGCAGAAGGCCGGAGGTGAGCCAAATGCAGTCGGGGTGTTTGCTGCCGTCACCCTCCTGGACTGGTACCTTATGGATCAGGACCTGGTCATTGTGATGGAAAGGCCACCAGCATCCATGAATCTTGTGGCTTACATGTCCTGCAGAGGAGGTCGCCTGGAGGAAGACGTGGCCAGGGTAGGGAGGCTGGAGGTTTGATGTTTTTGCTACGTCTGCATTCGCTGGCAGACTAAGAGCTTTTATGTTTTTTCCATTTAATAGCTGCAGCAACAACTTTTATCTTTGATAAACCATCATTTCTTAAATAAATGTGTAACATTATAAAACGGACTCAACCAGTCTTTAGGTTGAGGGGAAAATAATCCATCTGGGTTTAGATACCTTCTCTCTCTGTCTCTGATCAATGGAAAATGCATTTTGTTTATAACTCAGTTTATCTTTTTCTAATAATACATTTTGCTTAATGATCTGAATCATTAATGTGTAAAAAAAAAAAAAAAAAACCAAAGAAATCTTTAAGGGGAGAATAAATTTGTTAAAGTTTTATTTAATTTCAACAACTAAAGATGAGATCTTTAATGATAAAGACACATTTTTCATTGTTTTATTCCAGATTCTTATGAAACAGATGGTGGACGCTGCCATAGACCTCCACAGCAAGGGGATTTTCCACCAAGACTTAAAATGTGAAAACACACTGGTGGAAATGGGATCCCAGGAGCCTCGCATCCGGATTATTGATTTCGGCTGTGGAGTTTTAGTGGTGGGTTTCTACTTTGTTAAACATTTAACTGAGATCCTCTTTGAGTCATTTCCTTTAGAAAGCAAATGGACGAACAAAGCATAACAGTCTGCTCTGACTATGCCTGTATTCCAGGTACTTTTGCATTCGCCCCCCCGGAGTGGTTCAGCAGTAGGAAGTATAGACCTTCTCCGACCACGGTTTGGCAGCTGGGAACCATCCTGTATCGCATGCTGCACAGGTGTCACTTTGACACCAGACGTTTTACACGGGGCCTCATTAAGTTCAACAAAGACATTTCGCAAGGTATAGGAACATAACCAGCAAGTGCCTTGCTAGTTACCGCCCGCCTGTGCTTCTGACCTTTAACCCTTGGCTTCTCTTTCCAGAGTGCCTGAATTTTCTGCATCTGTGTTTGGAGGAGGACAGTAGCAGACGAGCCACCCTGGAGGATCTGCGTGTTCATTCCTGGCTCCTGTGACTGAGCCCCGTCCCTCAGGGATTCACTGGGCCTTTGTACATTTAATGAAAAATATTTATACTTTATATTATTTCAATATATATATTTAAATTGCTCTCTGACTGTTGTGTGCGTGTTTGTAGCTCAGTCTAGCACCCTGACTAACACATCCTTCATTATTTTCTGGAACTATAAGTCGACTTTATCGTGTTTGAGGAAACCCCACTTTCATATTTTATAAAGCTGGTTGCATTTTGTGCTTCTTTTAACACCGAGAAGATTTTGTTTACAAGTTATTAAGATAAAGCTGGGTTTACAGTTTAAAACCAGGTTATTTTTGAGGATCTCAACCTTCCTGTACATAACCATCATATTATAATCCTAAAACTATCCATCTTCTAACACGCTTAATCCCAAGTGGGGGTTGCGAGGGGTGCTGGTGCCTATCTCCAGCTGTCTAGGGGTGAGAGGCAGGGTACACCCTGAACAGGTCCCCACTCCATCACAGGGCAACACAGAGACAAACAATCATTAAGATCCTAAGGAGAATTTAGAGATTTAGTTTAGTTTAATTTTGCCAATTAACCTGTCATTTGTTTTAAGACTGTGGGAGAAAGCTGGAGTACCTGGGAATAGAACCCAGAACCTTCCTGCTACAAGGCAGCAGTGCAACCCTCTGCACCACGGAGCAGCCTATATCCTAAAACTGTTTAAAAAGAAATATCAAGTTTGATTTCTCTGGATTTATTATTGATGATAAACTCAACTAGAAAAATCATCTTTGTGCAATGTGAAATGTCTAACAGTATTTCTATATTGCAGAGAACTAAATATTTTGATTGGATAAACATAATCTATATGGTTGTTAAAGCTATAAGCTGCACCAGCCCTAATGAGAAAACTGCCCCCGCATTTCAATATAACAGCATAAGATGATATAAAAAAGTCCTGAAAAAAAGAAGGGGTTTAGAAGTAAAGCTATTCTAAATTTTTATCTGTATAGTGCCTTGAGATGACTTGTGTTGTAAATCAGCCAATAAAAAAAATATTAAATCATATTAGATTTACAGAATAAAAGATAAAAAAGGGAAAGATCTTGAAATAAATTCATGAACGAATAAATGAACAAACACATAAATATATCTGAAAATAAATTCAAGATAAATATTTCCATAAATTAATTACAAAGTAGGTGGAAAAAAATAGTTGCCTCCCGTATGTTTAATGAAAGAAAAAATAATAATAAAATGGTCAAAGAAAAATAACTTCAATCTCACAAAAATAATAAAGAATTCTAAGAAAAATAAATAAATTAAAATTAGATATATCTTTT